TGTTTTTATGGATGGTTTCAGATCTGATGTGGATCCTGTTTGTATGTACTGGTGTCCCACAGGGCTCAGTTCTTGGTCCCCTGCTTTTTAGCATTTATATTTATCCTCTTGGTCAGCTATTAAAGGGGTCCTATTATGCTTTTTCACCTTCAGTTAGTCAGTAATGTTGCTGTTTGAGCATTAAAAAAAAAAAGATCTGTAAAAGTTACAAAGCTCAAAGTCCACTTCAAAAGGAGATATTTTATTTAACAGAAATCACTTTTCAACAACTACAACCAACGACTCGTTTGGATAAAAGTTACAAAGCTCAAAGTCCACTTCAAAAGGAGATATTTTATTTAACAGAAATCACTTTTCAAAAACTACAACGAACGACTCGTTTGGACTACAACGCATATTTTCCGGGATTTGTGATATCACAAATACCGACGAATGGCATGAGACCTGGTTGAGCTGCACTAGAGAAGGCAACGAGTGTTATCACTATGTCGGAGACACGATAGTTTTCCCAAGGCAGACGAACTTTGAGTGGTTACAATCATCCAGGTTTAAATTACACTCAAATTGATTTGATTTTAACAGTATTTACACTGAAGCTTGCAGGCGGCTATGGTAAGGGGCATGACATTTCCCGACCAGGCGCCGAGTGCTGCCAATCAGAGCACACACACTGACCCAGCTAACCAAATCACAGCACATTTCGTATTTCAGAAGGCGGGCCTTCATTTGATACAGGAACTATTTGAGCCGTTCATGCCAGACTTTGGAGGGAAGTGTTGTAATAATGTAAAATATGTGAAAAATAATGTGTTTTTCGAACAACCTAGTATGAGAGTCTGTTCTAGTACACCCCCAAAACAAAATCAAGACTTTGTAAAAGAGCATAACAGGACTCCTTTAAGATCCCTTAACCTCCTAACCATTCTCAACCTGATCAATTTGTGGATGTCCCTCATCTTTCCAACTGTATTTCTGAGATTAAGTCGTGGATGTCTAAAAAAAATGTGTGTGTCTGAATAGCTCTAAAACTGAAGTTATGCTTCTCGGCTCTCCCCACCAACTGTGAAATGCTGCTTCTATAGATCTATCAGTTGGTGGTGTTGCCTTAGAGCTACACAGTAAACTAAAAAGTCTTGGTGTTATCTTTGACGTCATTCGAGCCTTTTGTATAGAACACTGTAAAGACCTTTTTTCATCTTAGAAATATTGCACGTATTCGGCCTATGTTGCTGAAAAATTTATTAATTCTTGTTTTTTCACAAATTGATTATTGCAATGCTCTCCTTGTTGGAGGCTCTGCATGGTCTCGCTCCACAGTATCTGGCAGCTCTTTTAACACCTTATACGCCAATTTGCAAATTTACGATCTTCTCAGCACGGCCTTTATTCATTTATTTTTTTTACTCATTAACCTCCATATAAATTCATGTCTATATTTAAAAAATATTTAGATTTACATATAAAATCTGTCTAAATTTGGCTTATTTTCTTAATTCAAGCCAATATGTATATTCTAATTTTAAATAATTCTTTTATTTCAAATGTTTCAATTGACCACCTTTTCTATTTTAATTCATTTCTACGACGACAAGCGATCTGATGTCAGCCATTGAAACATATCAACTGCAAACCAAATCAAATAAATCTCTCAAGATCTCAGTAGAGAATGATTAAACCACTCCAAAAGCAGGTTTGGTTCATGGCTTACAACAAAATAAAATTGAGTGAATAATGAATGGGAAAATAATTACATGACTGTATTAAATATATAGACCGTATTATCTTATTTAATTTAGACAAATGTAGTAGGCAATTCAAACATTTTTAGAAATCGTGTCTAGTACTAACATGCCAATGTTTATTTAGATTTTCATTTAGTGTTCAACAAGGTCAGATGATGAGGAAAAGCATGAGTGGAATAAAACAGTCACTAATAAATAAAGCTGTGTGTCAGAATGTTGGACAACATGTGGCTTTCACGAGTTTAAATGGTGACTAACACTCATTTAGATGCAGCGATATGAAGACAGCATGAGAAGCAATAGCTCACACAAAAATGAAAGTTCAGTCACCACCCTCACACTTTTCCAAACCCATCTGAGGTTATGCTTTCTATGAGGAAAGTACATACAGTATATGAGAACAAAATTGTCATTTTTGGGCGATCTATTCTTTTAAATAGATGTTTTTCCAACTCCCCTGTGAAACATGCACCTTTATTAGTCAGATGCCTAAAGAAAGCAAAGCAGGCATTGCTGTCGCTACAACGGTTCTCTGCTGTGACAGACACTGGGCCTCATCATGTCAACCAGGGAGCTGGAATGCGTCGGAACGCACAGCAGCCCAGTCATAACTCCTCTACCACATATATACATAATAACCATGCCAATCCATGACAGACTGCCTCCTGTCCCATTCAAACGCGGAGGAGAAGGGCATTTAGCACAGTCGTCATTCTTTTGGCCCTCATAAAACATCTCAGAGCACTTACCTCACCAGTGACCAAATATTTTCCATTCTGCGAGAAAGCCAAGGCACTGAAGGTTTTCCTGAGCAACAAACACAGGATTTAGGCTTAATTCAACGTACAACATTATGCTGTGGAATTAAAGATAAGGATGTTATTTACCTGGATGTGTTAAATATGTGAGTCTGCTTGTTTTTCTTTGGGCTCAGGATGACAATTACACAACTGAAACACATTAGTTTACAGATTATACATTATATAATCATTTACAATATAAATTAGTATATTTGAATACTTACACTATTCAAATTTTCGAAGATTCACATTTTAAGTAAGTCTCTTATGCTCAACTAGGCTGTATTTATTTGATCCAAAGAAAAAAAAAAA